CGTCAACTTTACCTGCAATTTTACTATGGCAGTCAAAATGGAGGTTTTCTGCTTATATAAGCGCTGGACTTGGTGATTTTGACTGATTTCTCTCGCTGTACTGGAAATACTCGAATTCTAAGCTTTCTGCCGGCATATTCGAACAGGACTAAAACGTAAATTACCCACTTGAGCTAAATGGCCACATTCGTATGCCGTAACCGGGGAACAAAGGCAAAGTCATATCATACATTTTGGCATTTGGAGACGCGATAGTCACTCTGCGCATTTACCTCGTTAGACGAAGCTGATTTTTTCTTCTGAGCTTTTATTAGCTCCTATTCATCGACATTGCTATTTGACACCTTCTAGGTTCAGATTTATTGCATGGATTGCTCTTCCGAGCCATCGTCCCCAATCGTCCCCAATCGTCCTCAATCGTCCTCAATCGTCCCCAATCGTCCCCAATCGTCCCCAATCGTCCTCGGCCATTCTCAGTTCTCGTCAGTCCTTTCCGGCCGTGACAGCCACATGGCCAACACAACAAGTATACACCCTGCATGCGACTGTGCTGAGCATCAGACAAACTACCAGCATTGGCCTAGGGAAAATGCAGAGATAAGAATTGCTTCGTGCATGCGGGTATGTCCTTTTTGTGCGAAGAAGCATTCAAACGCTAGCCGACTCCGAAAGCACCTGCGCCAGCGCAAATATCGCGATCGGAATATCTCCATCGCATCGGAGCGTCCTGGTGCTGTCGGCGTGGGGCACTTTCCCATGCACCATCAGCAAGGAGCCCGAAAGTCTCAGAATCAGGTTTGCATCGGTAATAATATGAAGTCCTACAGCTCAGCTCTATCTACAAACTCCGTTCATGCCGAACCCGAGGACGATTTGAATTTCCGCTTATGTGAAATTTAAGCAAACTTCGGCCCTGAATTTGGTGTCCTCTCCAAATGCCACCTTTCTTACTAGAACCGCATGTTAGATCAAAGTCAAGATCTCTGGCTTAAATCTACATCATCGGTCCCTCGTCTCCTTGACGGCTCCCGCTGCTGGCGCGTTCGAGCTCCTCTCACTCGCGAGCTCTTCATAGAGACTATAGAGGAGATATCAGCCGAAAATTCGACGACTTAGAAGGGCCCTAAGTCTCGATTTCGGGCTAATTTCCAAGGTGAAGTAGATAAGAAATTCGACCCTTATATTGCCCTCTCGTAGCTCATTAATCCTGATCCGAATAAACCTGCATTTCTCACTGGTTTACGGTTGCCGTCAATAGACCACTTTGGATAGCGAGAACTATCGCGAAATGATCTTCACATCTAATTCCTAGTAGTGCCAATCTGGCTGGCATTGATGATCATCTCATCCAATGCCTTGCCGGGAGTAACCCATGGAAGCACGGGAACCTTTTCGTCCACCTTCACCTCCAGCAAGGCTGGGCCCTCCGAGCGAATGAGCCACTCTAGTTTATTTGCGATATCAGATACAGCATCCAATCGCTGAGCTTTGATGCCCATTCCATCAGCCACCTTCACAAAGTCTGGATTTCGTTGATGCGTGTGGGAGTATCGCTTGTCGTAATCAAGAGCCTGCCACTGTGTGACCATACCTTGCTCATTATTGTTGAGTACCAAGATTTTGATGTTAATCCCTAACTCCGCAGCCACAGCCATCTCCTGTATCGACATACTCAGAGATGCATCCCCATCAATATCAATGACCATTGCGTCAGGTCGTGCGACTTGGGCACCAATTGCTGCAGGAAGCCCGAAACCCATAGTTCCTAGTCCTCCAGAAGTGATCAGCGAACGACTCACGCTCCATTGGAAGAACTGAGCCGCCCACATCTGATGGGACCCAACACCAGTGGTAATAATGGTTCGCTTGCTTAGTTTTTCAGTAAGGTCGCTTAGAAGCATAATAACACACTCGGGAGATATTTTTGTCACTTGCTTCGGAGGAGTCGGCTTGATCGGGAATGTCTTCTTCCATTCAGAAATCTGGCCCATCCACTGCGGTCTGCTCTCCACCTTACGGACATGAGGAAGTAATTCAGTGAGACTGGCGGTAACATCTCCTCGGACGAATTCGTTGCACTGAATGGCTTTATTGATGTGAGGGGGGTGGATTTCAAAGTGTATGATGCCGCCCCGTTGGTCTTTGCCAGCCGCTTTGGCAACAGGAGCAAAACGATCGGGATCGCCTATGGCACGATCGTCAAAGCGTGCGCCCAAAGCGATCACCAAATCAGCTGCTTGGATCGCCTTATTGGCATATGCAGTACCATGCATTCCTAGCATCTGAAGTGACTTGGGATCGTGCTCATCAAAACATCCAATGCCAAGAAGACTAGTGGCAACTGGAATGCAGGCAGTTTCGGCTAATTGTGCCAATACTTTCGGGCCCTCAGCACACGAAAGCACTCCATTACCTGCGTAAATAACAGGTCTCTGAGCTTTGTTGATAAGATCTGCGCATCTTTTGATGCTCGCTGATCGGTTGGCTTTGAGGGCATCAGATCGTAAAATGGGGTTATCCAATTTGGGGAGGCATTGGGTTGAAGCCAATCTAGCGGGAGCTTCAAGAACTGCACTGGTCACGTCCTTGGGTAGCGCCACTAGAACAGGGCCCGGTCGTCCACTCATGGCAATTCGAAAAGCATCATTGATTTGAGTGGCAAGATCTCGGATGTCTCGTACCACAGTATTCCATTTCGTGCAAGGGCCCGTAATGCCAATCACATCTGCTTCTTGAAAAGCATCCGTGCCCATGGCATAGGTTGGAACTTCGCCGGTGAGAACGACCAGTGGAGTGCCATCTTTTAGCGCGTCTTGTAAAGGCGTGATAAGGTTGGTCGCACCCGGCCCCGAAGTGGTCAGAACAACTCCTGGCTTCCTGGATGTGCGGGCATATCCCTGCGCCATATGACCTGCCCCTTGCTCATGTCGTGGAAGAACAAATCGGAAATGAGAACAGCTGTGCAGAGCATCAAAGACTGGCAGAATAGCCCCGCCGGGATATCCAACTGCTCATTGTTTACATAGTCAGCTCACATATCATCGACATGTGCATAGATAATAAGAACCAAATTTCCTTCTCCCTTGCTCAAAATCAACTTACAGATAGAATCCACTTTTTGTCTTCGAAGCATCTCACATAAAATCTGACCACCAGTCATACCCATCAGAGATCGATCAAGAGCATACTCCAATTTTCCACCTGACTTGGTAGATACAGAAGACTCCAAAAGAGGAACTGGAACCACTCGATGTTTCATTTCAAAAACCTTGGCCGGTTTCGATGATAAGTCGGCTATCTGGACGGTTTTTGAGAGCCCAGTATGAAGCCCCGAGGATTGAACTGGCGATTTGAGTGATTCCTGGAATTTCTTCTTCTTCGCAATCATTGTACAGTGTACGTGTTTGTACTTGACGGAGCTCTCGCCACGTAGAAGTTTGAGTGACTGAGGAAACATTTTGGACAAAAGTGCTGATACCATCTTCAAATCTGGATGCAAAACCTGAAGTCTATACCGCGAGGAGGGGATGATTTAGTTCCCTTTTAAAGCATATGAGGGAATATTCTAGGCTAATTTTGTAACGGTGCACGGTCAGGTCTCAATGATGCATGTTACGCTTGTGAATATGGAGCTACTTTCAATGCACACGACTCATCGAATAGCTATTCACGATTGATTATTTACTTGCGTTTTGATTTGATAGGCAGACAAAAAATGAAGCCGTGAGAATGATCTGTGCGACGAAAGCCATACACCACCTTATATCATTATGTGGTGAGATTCTCTTATCTATGCTGTTGTTGGACGGTTGCAGGAGATGGTCCACCTCCAGAAACTCGAAATTAGACACATACATTGGTGTGGTACCAAAAGTAGACACGCACATGAGTGTGGTGGCGAGGTCGGATGTGCAATGACATAGAGATAGCGGTGGAACGACCGACTAATATATTACTTTGTAACATCAAATGGTTTCAAGAAGGCCATGAAAAGTAGGGTATAATACTTTTGACTTTGATACTGCGAAAATTCTGTTGCATGTTGCCCAGGTGCATCTTTGGGGTCTCAGAAATAGCATCCAGCTTGATGATCACAAATCATTCAATAAGTTGTTTTAAAGACTTCTCTCTTGCAAATGTGTACAGTTGAATCATAAGTACCGCAGATAAGTAAAGCGTATCATAAAGAAAGGAACTGAAACGGTGTTGATCAAGACAATCATTTCCAGCCTTGGTATCTAATGCAGAAGAACCTAAGGAATGAGGGGTGGGAAGACCTGAGTATTCGATTCAATCCAATAGTAGTAGCACGAGCTTGCATTCCAGGATTCATGGTCATACTTATTACCCAACTTATAAGAAGGGTTTTCTCAAGCCAATGTTGGTTTTAATCACAACATTCCATTTTCTTATCCCACCATCAGTTCCACTCAAAAATTGGAGCTATTCTCAACATTTATTTCTCTAGCCTTTCGACAGAAACAGTATAATTCGAGTTGCAAGCAGGAAGAATGACTGAAATTCCAAAGAAACAATGGGCTCAGGTCTTTGAGAGCAGTGGTTCAGGTAATTATAAACTTACTCATTTTGAAAGCCCCATTCTTTCTTACAAATTAGGTTCGTATTTTAATATCTATAGCTTTGCAATTTACCCAAGTTCCTGTTCCCGTGCCCGGCGCTACCGAGGTGCTAGTAAATATCAAATATTCGGGAGTGTGTCACTCGGATTTGCAAGCGTGGAAAGGGGGCTGGCCACTTGACCCCAAGAAATGTCTTATAGGTAAGGACCTGATCTCTCAGTGCCCTTCATCGGCGTTCTTCAGTTTCCAAGCGTCAAAGGATCATGCTGACATCCTAAAGGAGGTCATGAGGGCGTGGGATTTGTTGTCAAGACAGGAGAGGGAGTTAAAGAATTAGCTGTGGGTGACCATGTTGGAATACAGGTGAGAGGAGAATGCTTGTCCCTGTTACTCATTTCTCCTGTTTTTCAAGTATACTAAATGAGCCCGCTTGACATAAAGTGGATCAACAGTATCTGTGGTTCTTGTGTGTCCTGTGAGACCGATGACCAGAGGTCGTGTGCAAGTGCTCAGTTTTCTGGTTACACCAGAGACGGGACCTTTCAGCAGTACGTCGTCTGTAAGGAATTCTGCGCCGTTCGAATTCCTCCAGAAGCACCTTTAGACAAGATTGCTCCGGTAAGTGATCTAGTGTCTTTTGCTTAACTGTCCAGCTCAAAAAAACATGGCACGTTTCTCATCGCCTGAATATAGATTCTTTGCGCGGGGGTAACTGTCTATCGCGCTCTTCTAGAGACCGGCGCCCAGCAGGGTCATATTGTTGGTACGATTTCGTTCATTTCGTCCTGACTTTTTCCATCATAACTATTCACGGTCACTACTGATAAGTTATATTAGCCATTGCTGGTGCGGGTGGAGGGCTCGGGACCCTGGCTTGTCAATATGCGAAGGCGATGGGTTTTCGAGTACTTGCAATATCAAGCGGAGCTGAGAAGAGAATGCATTGTGAGAAATTGGGCGTTGATTATTTTGTGGACTATAAAAGCTCCAAGGATCTCACCCGTGACATTGAGAGGCTTACCAACGGAGGGCCTCACGCTGTGGTAGTTGTATCATCAGATGATCGTCCCATCTCACAGGCTATTGAGGTGAGATAATACAATCGCCGCCCCCAATCTCTATTTCCTACCAGCACCTCTTCTTGATGATTCGCCCGGGAAAGTGACTTGGCTGAAATGAATTCTACAGTACATCAGATCTCGGGGAACAATTGTGTTAGTTGGTTTGCCGCCAGGGGCAGTCATTAAAGCCGATCTCTTCTCGGTCGTTTTCCGCATGATCACTATCAAAGGATCTTATGTTGGCACCAGAGAGGATACCGAGGAAGCACTGAGATTCTTCCTTCGTAAAAACCTCGCGATGCAATGCCAGATCATGGAACTTGAAGAATTACCCCAAGTCTATGACATGATGGAGAAAGGTAAGTGAGGCCTTACTCTCAATCGACTAAATTCTTTACGCGCTCCAAGCTGACCATGGAATGGTAAATTCTTTTCAGGAAGTATCAAAGGTCGAGTAATTTTGAAGATGCCTGAAGGTGCAGGTATGACTGAGCTATTTGCCCGCCCGAGCTTGATGCCAGCATTGATCACCCCGAGATTTTCACCCAGAGAACATAATATCGGCACGCTCTTGGCCCATAGAATGGAAGAGCTGGGAGTTAAGGACTTCTTTGCCGTCCCAGGTACTTGCGCGAAAATTCCATAGATTTTACGATGTTTAAGCTTACTAAAACTACTATCATTCAAAGGCGACTCAAATCTGACCCTGCTTGATCAAATGTTGAAGAACCCAAGCCTACACTTGGTTGGGTGCTGCAATGAGTTGAATGCTGGCTACGCTGCAGATGGATACGCGCGGAGTTCCCCCACCAAAGTTGCAGTTGTAGTAGTCACCTTTACAGTTGGGAGTCTATCGCTGCTTAATGCAATTGCAGGTGCCTATTCTGAGCGACTTAGGATCATCATTATCTCAGGCTGTCCAAGCTCAAAATTGCTGACAGAGGAGAGTCTCCTCCACCATACGACAGGTGGAGTGAACAGGGATCAAGCACTGCGTGTATTCCAAGAGTTCACAGCTACCTCAATCCGTCTGGATTCCAGTGAACATGCCGCACTCCGCCTAGATGAAGCTATTTCTCAGTGCATTCACAAATCACTGCCAGTCTACATTGAGATTCCCACGGATCTAGTGGGAGTTGTGGGCAATGCAGCAACTCCTTTACAAATTTCACGGCCTCTAAAATTAATTCAATCAGGGGCCATCGATGAAATTGTATCCCCATTGATTACCGTCTGGAATGCAGCGCACCGGCCGATCTTGATCATTGGTGCTCTGGCACGCTTCTTCCTCTCGACTGAAGCTCTGATAGCACTTGCTGATAAGCTGGGTTGCGCCGTTTTCTGCCAGCCAGATGCCAAATCAACGCTACCAGAGTCACACCCTCAATTTGTGGGCACATTTTGGGCCACTGCTTCCAGGTCCGAATGTAGAGACATTGTGATGGACGCTGACCTCTGGGTGGTAGTTGGAGGGCGTTGGTCTGATATGCACACGCTTGGGGGACTGGATATCCGAGATGAGCGCCGACGCATGATTGATATCCAGGAAGCATCTATACAAATGCCTAATGGTCGATTGATTCAAGAAATATGCCTAGCTGAGGTTCTTGACGCTTTTCTGCGCTCCTCAATTCCTCCAAAAAGAGAAACACTCATTTCATTCGATTGGAAATCTCGTCAACAGACTAGAGTCAACAGTCCTGTACTTGGCGAAGCACTCACCGTGCGTGGGATCATGGATGTTATCCAACAGCTGATTACAAGCAACGATACCTTAATAGCTGATGCTGGGGATGCTTGGTTCAATGCCACCAATATTTTGCTCCCAATGGGGGCGAACTTTCAAATTCAGCTATTATATGCGTCATTAGGATGGAGCCTACCTGCTGCACTTGGCTGCCAACTAGCTTGCCCAGATGGGCGAACAATTCTCATGATTGGTGATGGCGCCTTTCAAATGACCGCTCAAGAGCTAAGTACTGCCATACGAAGTAGAGCAAACATGATAGTCTTTATCTTCAACAATCTGGGTTATCAGATAGAGGTAGGTTTTTACTATTTCATGTCAAGGCTACGTATCCTGCTTCTAGAACCCTCTGTCTCCCACTCCATCTTCGAATTGAACGAGAATCTTTCACTAATGATTTTCTATCCTTCTTGCTATCTTCTAGTCTGCGATTCATGATGGGCCCTATAATTACATCGCCAATTGGAACTATGCCAAGTTCGCTTCCGCCATGTGTGCACCTAAGCATACAAGAACATGTAACAACCCATTCGCATCTAAAATGGACAAAGATCTGGGTCTCAATCCGGCATTTTTCTCGATGCAGATCAAAACACAAGCCGATCTGCTATTAGCATTAGATCGGATCAATTGTGAGCCATGGAAACTAGCCCTCTTGGAGTGTTGCATTCAGCCCGACGATGTCAGTGTTGGTCTTCGGCAGCTTGCAGGTGCACTCTCTGAAGCAGCCAAAAAGTGATCCAGCTAAATAGATCTGATTTCTTCTATCGTTAAATCCATTCAACCCTACACTCAATTTCTCCATTCCCTGATTAGCCCCCTATACATGCCCCCGCCGCCCGCGGTACGTCGTTGAGAGCCGTCTAATCAATTAAAAAACCCCTCTGTGCTAGCCTAGATAGCGACCCTAAGATAGTAGATTCAAAACCGAGGCGAGATCTCAATAGGACTCTTCTATATAAAGGGCCACCCTTCGGGAGGGGATTAGGAGATCCTAAGAGATAGAGCTATATAATCGCTATCGAAGATGCTATTAAGAGCCACTACTACTTTTCTAGAAAACTACGGTACCGGATCGGGAGTAGGATTTCCTTCTAAAGGTCAGGTTTCATGGTGAGACTTGAATCAATAAAGAAACTTTGTAGATGAATGAAATGCGATGTCATGCGTACTCACAGAAAACACCTTCAGTGTCATTGGATTTTATAAATGAGAATCTGGAAGTTATAACAGGGTTGAGCATGAAAACCAAAATAAACTGGAAGAACAAAAATGTTAGAGGTGAAATAATTTGGACCTCACAACGATGAGGGAGCCTAATGAGGTTGCTCAAATTCTGATGAGCTACATTTAGATTTATGTAATAAATATATTATATGAATTTATATTAAATATATATATAAAAAAACCTTTACTGTAGAGTACTGAAGTGTACAAGCGTGCCGGCTGGAAATCATCTTAGTATAGCCTAAGTTTGCTGTCCAGCATTTTGAGCCTTAACTGTGTTGGGAGAGCCTGGGCCTTGATTAAGCAGCACATTCCTGACGGGCGTGCTGTCATAGTCGCTACTACTAGTCCCGTGATGTGTGTTGTTTGATGGGCTCATAGTTGCAATCACCGATTCCGCAGAATACAAGCAACTCCTGAACTTTTCCTGCCGTCAAAGACTGAAAAGCTTCTTCCATGACTGTATTGTGCTGGGCAAGTCAGTTCCAAGAGAAGTTGTCAAGGGGAGATACTGCGCTGCCGCACCAATTTCGGTTGCGCGGGTGAGACTAACCCAAAACGGGAAATCTGGAGTCTAGACCCTACCAGAACAACATGGAAAGAAAGGGAAAGCAGGAGTGTGCGGGCTCAACGCACTTCGCGACCATATTGTGTTCGATAGAGTATTAAACCACTGCACTATCGCTGGGCTTGGCTGTATGCTCTTCATAGTGCAGTGTTTACTTTAGTGATGGCGGACGAATCATGCTGGTCGTTATTGCAGCAAACCGCAGCTTGTTTCTGCTGGGAATTTCGAGGCACTCGCAGATGCCTTGGGAATTCCCGTTGCCAAGATGTGAGCCAGGGAAACAAATGTCATGGCTATGTGAGGGTTTAATTCCACTGCTTTCCTTTGGGCCCCTTCTTTGAAAATCGGTGAGAACGAGGACGATTTCATCCCCACCCCCATCAATGCATCAATCAAAGAGTTTCAAAACACTTAATTGCGCGTTCAACGTGGGGTGGAAGCGACCGATCGTGAGTTGAGACTCCAATCAAGATTGAGGAAAGCTATGGCTAAATTAATATAGATTTGTGATCAGATACTACCTCACTAAGTATTATGGTTCCGGGGGCAATTACTTCAGAAACCAACTTCGGTCCCACTCAGACTCCTCTAGCGACCTGATCTCCAGTTTTTCAATTTTAATACACTATGACAGAATTAATAGGGTATCGTCTGAGTTGCGCAAATCCCTTATCTCCGGCTAATATAGGAGCGTATATAAGTCGGTTTCGGGCGATAAAACGCTTCGACGGGATCATCGGAGTCACTTCCCAGAAAGAACAATTTCTCTTGCACCATTCATCTGCTTGCGCAAAGCGAGGTTACATAGCACATCGAATTGAGAGCTTTGTAATCTACAATCATATACTTCCTATTTAGAGTTAGCGTTACTTTGACCGAAATCAAGAGACGCGCTAAGCACTAATGGGGTATAAAGCTCAGGCCATCCGAAATCGGGTTCCTGAGTAGACGGGAGAATACGTTCTATTATCCTTCGTAAAAAAGTGTAGTACATGTGATTGGCTCTGCTGCAACGTCTTGCTCCACCTGAAAGCAATAGCCACCCAACTATGAAGCGAACATCTCATCGTAGTGAATGTCAGCACTGGGTTCGATTAAGTTTGGCACGGACGACACATTCATGAACGATTTTGCTTTTTTCATGGAGCCCGTTTGAGCCTCCATTTGTACTTAAAATATTTTCCATGAGAAAGAGCTAGACTTTTAGTATTCTGGCGATTAGATCGTTCATTGATAACGGGGTTTGTCCAAACCTTACCTGCTCAATACATATGTAGTAAAGTAGTAAACTCAAAAATATTGTTAAACATTCGACCAGCCACATTGTGTCCCATCTGTACGAGGTCTAGCTTATTCATTTCCACTGTTTTATTCTTAGGACTCTCAGTTGAGGGATTACGGTCATAAATCTACAGTGCAGTGTGTTCATTTCCTTCCCTTCGTTAAATTTGTTACTTTCTGATTTCTGTTTGCGGTCATAGTTCTCATTTTCTTGTGTGTTGTTGCTTTTTGTCCTTGCTTTTCTCTGTCTGTTGTTAAGATCTAGTTGTGTTGTTGTTTTGTGTGGTGTTTGGTTTGTTATTTGGTCGGGGTGTGTTAGTGTTTTAGGTGGTTGGAGGTGGGGGGGGGTAAATGAAAGCAGATTAAATCAAATCAATGAATCGAATTCAACGCGTTCATGCTTATGTGTTGAACGTCGATTAAATAACAACAATCAACGTAGCTTCCAGATCACGTGCATTTGCTAATAGTTCGCGAGCCCCCAGATCGACACTCGAAAATTTTTATCAACTCAATCTTGGTGCCTGGTTGGTTAGGCTTCACGGGGTTAGACTCTATCGGAGACCACTGCGGCAATCCACTCAACTCAGCACGGCTTAAGCCAATGACAAAGAACCCTTTAAGCCTTGGGACCGTCTCTAGACTAATTTAGGCCTAGAATGCTTGGACTAGGAGAGACGGAGAACTAAGAGCCAGCTCATATGACGTATAGCCTTCTATGCCGTCTGTGCTCTTCAATAGGCCATTCTGTGACTAATTTCGTCTCAAGAGGATTCCCCCAAACGCCAGACCCTCTCGAAAGAAGGATCCTATCATCGGACTTCCAAGTGCTCATAAATTTAAGATGATCTACCCAAGAACCAGCTTTTATTAACGCGTTTTTGCATGATATTATTGACTGAATACCAGCTGCAGCAAGGATCGGAGAAATCATATACCGAATATCCATTGTTTGATCGCTGGAAAAACGTTCTGCCGGAGCCGGCTCGACTGACTCTCCGCTTGTTGGTCTGCTGGCCACTACACAAGGGCAAATGCGACGACCCTTTCCAAGAGGCTGATGGCTGATAACAGCTCCCCGGACTATAAATCTCTCTATCTGCAGGCGGAAGAGAGACAGAAGCAAGAAGAGGAGAGACGGAAGCAAGAAGAGGAGAGACGGAAGCAAGAAGAGGAGAGACGGAAGCAAGAAGAGGAGAGACGGAAGCAAGAAGAGGAGAGACGGAAGCAGGCAGAAGAACGCGAGAAGCAGGAAGCGGAAGGTAGACGACAGGCAGAAGATCGTGAGAAGCAGACGAAAGAACGCAACCAACAGACATCTTTCACAGAGCTCTTACGGCACTGTTATAATATTCTCTCCCGTAAATTGAGAGTCGAGATACCATCTCGCTCAACCACTGGTAAAATACCCGCTCCGACCGGGAAGTATTGTCTAACACAATTAGAACATTAGGCCGATTGTCTAGAGCAGATACTAAGGATCTACAAGTCTATCTGCTAATATTTATAGCCTGAACTAGAGCGAGCGTAACGCTTATTTTCGTCTCTACCGGAGCTAAAAGGACTCGGTCACCGATTTACCCACAAGCCTCTTAGTAGTAAGTAAGATCTCAAGGCCTATAAGCGGTTTAGGGTAGAAGAGTATATATATGATATAATAGCCGAGCTATACAAATTTCTAGCGGTATGTACTAAATTCGGCCTCAGTAATAGAATCTAGTTTAGTAATTATACTTATTCTTTAAATAGGGACGAGACTATTAGAGTAGATAAAAGTCAGCTATTAAGCATACCTCATCCACGACTAGACTAATTTTATATCTATCAGGTCGACGGTAATATAAATACCCTCTTAACGACTGTCGAGTATAAGCCGCTTTATAAACTACCTATTACAGCTCTTCGCCTAGGACTACGGCTAATAGATCTATAGAAGACAATAGTTAGATTAAATAAAATACCTATAGAATAGGAAGCGAAATTAAGGTATAACGTATAGCGGCTAGCCTACTCTATTATAGTCTAAGAATACTATACAATATTCAAAGAAGAATACGAGTATTCTTATATAATAAATAGACTTGTCTGTATCCTACTTCGTATTCTATACAACAAACCTACTACGCTCTATTACTTTCTCTATAATCCCTATAGCAAAGTAGACCTAGTAGGTGATATAACTTCCTAGTTATCGAAGACCTCTATTACAAGAGTACTATACTTCTATTTAATAGTATTCCGATTACCTACCTATAGATAAGAGTAAAGGAATCGCTAGCGCCCCAATCTTTATATATAGCAAATAAGCTTTAAATATACCTATTCCTAGATTCTAAGTAAAGAATTATAGTAGATACCCTACTCCAATAGTATAAACCCCGACTTTCTAAGTCCTAAATCTAGGTTATCCTATAAGCTACCCTTATTATCCCCACTACCATCTCCCTTAGATAGTCGTCAAGTGCCTATACAATCTTAAAGTAATTATATACTAATAGAGACCCGACTACGCTAACTATTACCTAACTTATCCAGCTCTAATATAAATTAAAATACTAGCTATAAGTAGAGAATTAGTTAAGTCACGCCTTCGCTATCTATATAGCAATCGGGTTAATAATAGGAGTTAAGGTATAAATAAGAAGATTATTCTCAACACCACG